GACTCCAACTACAGTGTAAGACACATTATTTTTATGGACATGGTGAATGTAGAAACTTGTTTTGCTTGATTATACATGTTGGTAACCGGGGTTTTGTTTTTCTTTCTCAATTTTTCTGAGGGGGAGGGTAGGAGAGAAAGCAGAATTTTGCTGATTAAAACAATTTAATTAACTTTTAAAATTGCATGGACTACCATTCAATTTGGTTGCCATTTATCAAAAGAATTTTATGGAAGATAAATTGTCTAAAGTGGCACAATGACAAAAATATAATTCTTTTTATAGTTTAAAAATAAATGTATATATTATTTGTAAAATGATATTTTGGAGCCAAAGTTTACTTCTGTGTAAACATCTCTGAAATTATAAAACAAGGAATGGGAAGAGGACGGGAAGAAGCATTTATTAAGTACTTACTATGTGCCATGTACTGTGTTAAGCCACTTTAAAAATAGTATTTCTTTTGATCATGAGGAAACTATGATAGACAATTAAGTGACTTACCCAGGAACATACAGCTAGTAAGTGTCTGACTGAACTTAAGTCTTTCTGATTCCAGACCTAGAATCCTACATTATGTTCTATCCTACCTGCCCCCAGGAAACTAATGGAAGTAAAGAGAAAACTGACTTGGCTACACAATTTTAAAGGTGAAATAACTAGCATTTAATTAATGAGGACCAAAATGAATCTGAGTAGTCATATTAGTTTTGTTCTTATTCCAACAGATGCCAATTATAGATATGAGAGAGCCTTAGATCACCAAACATAAAATAAAGCAATTCTTTGTAAATCAGACAGGGATTAATATATCAAATTCATGCCAAACAATAGTGTGAACTAAGACACAGAGGACTGTTTACAAGCCAAGGGAAGTTTGATGAACAGAAAATTATTATTTTAAATAAGCAATTATTTTAAATAAAATGTCAATCATTCCCTTCATAGTAATAAAGAAAGAACAATGAAATAAATACCAACAAAATATTGAACACATCAGTATGTGGTTTTCTTTCTATTGAGGGCAGAGGAAGGGAAACCCTCGTTTTTCTCTCTCTCCTATCTCTATACTCCTCCCATCCTACCAGGATGCATAGTCAAACAAAACAAATTCTCACACTGGCCATATCTGAAAATATATATCTAATTCTGCATCTTGAGTCCATCTTCAGGAGGCAGGTCATATGTTTTATCATTAGTTCTCTGGGATCATGCATAGCTGGTGATTGCATTGATCAGGATTCTTGGTCTTTCAAAGGTGTTTGTCTTTACAATGTTGTTATTTCACAAGTAATTCTCTTGGTTCTGTTCAATTCACTCTTCATCAGTTCAAACAAGTCTTCCCAGGTTTCTCCAAAGTTCCTCTTTAGCCTTACCTTACCCCACAACAATGTTCCAATATAGTCATATACCATCATTTATTTAGTCATTTAGTCATCGTATAGGTATGCCCTCAGTTTCCAGTTCTTTTCTATAACAAAAAGCGCTACTAGAAACATGTTTGTACATATGGGCCTTTTTCTTCTAGAAAAGGTCTACTAACAGTATTTTGGGGGCAAAGGGTACGAATAGCTTAGTGACTTTAGGGTATAGTTCGAAAATGGTTTCCAGAATGGGTGGACCAATTCACAGCCTTACCAAGGCATCAATCTGCCTATTTTCCCACATTCCCTCCAACATTATTAGTCAGTGTTCTTTTGATTATTTTTGCTAGTCTGATGAGAATGAGTCAGAATTTCTTCAATGTGTGTTTCTTTATTAGTTATTCTGATCATTTTCTCCTAAAGTTGTTAATAGCATTGAAAACAGTTCATTCATATCTTTTGGCCATTTATCTTTTGGGGAAAGGCTCTTGTTGTTACATACTTTGAGATCTGGTACTAGTAGCTCCTTCCTACATTTTTAAATTTTTTTTCTCTTAAGATTCTTGTTCCTCCCCACCCCCAAGATTATTGTTGTAGTTGTTGTTATTGTTTTTGATGTTATCATAATCATTATTGTCTTTGTACTGCCATAAAACATATGGGTTAAATTCCTGGCAGCCTAGGGGAGACCAGGGGGAAACCAGATCAAAATGTAATTAAGAAGTGTTTAGCAAAATAAATTAGAAAATAAAACAAAAATAATACTAATTTGTGGTTTTCTAAGTCAATATGTAAAAGGTGGATTATACAATTCTATTTGAAGTTGACACCACCGCTATAAAGTAATCCTTTGGTAGTTTGATTGTTATGGCACTGAATATATAAACGAATTCAGGTTCTATTGTCATTTTTACTACACTTTATTATTTATTTACCTGATTATTTAGATCTGACCTTATTTCTGAAAAGAGTGTTTTAAAGTTATATCGACATTGTACCTGTGGTATCCAAGGAAAAAGACTATGAAATATTTTGTATATTTCTAGTTATTTTGAGAATTTTTCTACTTCTTCAAAAATCCAGAAAAATGTAAAAATCAGACATATGGATTTTAGTGATAATATACAAAAATACTGATGATCTATGTGAATTTCTCTTATGCTCCACAATGCTGTTCAAGCTATTGTTTCAATTATGTTTTGTGTATCTCTTTTGGATTCTCTACATTAGTGGTGCCAAACTCAAACACATATTCTCTGGAGATGCACATTGACTTAGAAAATCACAAATTATCATTATATTGTTTTTTAAATTTTATTTTGTTAAATATTTCCCAATTACTTTTTAATCCAGTTCCCCACTAGGGGTTAGACTGCATATTTGGCACCATTGCTCTACACAGATTATCATATCATCTACTAAATGTAAAAATTTTGTTTCTTCTTTTCTTATGCTTATTTTTTCAATTTCCTTTTCTTGTCCTATTGCTATAGCTAGCTTTTTTAGACCTACTTTATTAAATGGTGACAATGAACATCATTGCTTTACTCCAATCTTAATGGAAACCCTTCTGTAGTCTATCTCTACTATATTGTCATATTGATATTATATTATAATTATGTAATAAATATATTATAATACATATTATATTATAATTATATAATACATGTTATCATATTATGAATATTTTCATATTGAGAAAAGGTCTATTTATTCCAATGCTTTCTAGTGTTTTTAACAAAGATGGTTGTTAGATTTTGTCAAAAGCTTTTCCAACACCTATTCACATAATTGTGTGATTTTTCTTATTAATGCAGTCTATTATGTGTATAAGTTTTTTTCTACTAAAACAACTCAACTTTTGTTTTCAGATCACCTTCATCTCTCAACATATTTGTTTCCCCTCTCCAACCCAGAGGGCCATCCCTACAACAAAGAATTAAAAAGAAAAAGAAAAAAGAAAAACAGTAAATGAGAAAGACTAACCAATAAATCAGTCAATTCCAATAATATATGCTAAACTCATTTTATTCTTATTTAGGCCCAAGCTTGGTCATTATAACATAATATAATGTCTTCCTGGTTGTGACATTTGTTCTAATACTGTAGTGATATTCCATTATATTCATATGAAGCACTGTTTGTCTAACTATTCCTTAATCAGTGGGCATCAATATGCTTGAAGTTTTTTCTATTATTAAAAGTCAAGGTATACTTCTTGTGGCAGCAAAAAACTGGAAACAAAGTAGATTTGGGGAATCTTTAAACAAACTGTGGCATATGAATGGAATAGAATATTACTATACTGTAAGAAATGATTAACATGATGAATACAGAGAAGTATGAAAAGATTTACATTTAACCAATGCCAAGTGAAGTAAGCAGTCAAGAAAACAATATATTCAATAACTACAACAATATATATGAAAAGAATAACCATCACAAAACAGTTTAAAATGAATGTTGCAAAATCATAAAGAACAAGCTTGGCCCCAAAGAAGAGATTGCTACAAGAAGACATTTACCCCTACACTCTTGTAAAGCTGGAGGGGTTAGCAAGGGTTCCATCAATGTGCTAATAGTGAATATAGAATCAGATTCTTAAAAAATATATTTATTTGTTTCGATTTGAATTTTCTCCTTTTTTTTCCTTTTAAAAGAAGTATTTGCTACTAGGAATGATTCCTGGGAATAGGGAAGAGGGTGAAATACAAGGGAAAATCTAAGGGACAGAAAAATAAAATGTCAATAAAAATCTATCTCTTAAAACTAAAAAAGCATAAGATGAAGAGGAAACAAAAAATTATTATAAATAAAAAGTAGTTTGACAAGTACTCTGGTGCATATTGTAACTTTTTTTCCATCCTTTATCTCATTGAGACATATGGCTAGCTGCAGAAACTCTAGGTCAAAGGGAAAGGACATATTATTCATTTTTCTTTTTTACCATAATTCCAAACTGCTTTCCAGAACTGCTGGATGAACCAGTTACATGAAAGTATGTGAAGGTCCCTATTTTTCCAAAACTCCTCCAATACTGAATATTTCAATCTTTTGTCATTATTACTAATTTCTGGGTGCAAAATGATACCTCACAGTTTTTCTGAGTTGAGTTTTTCTTATTATTAATTATTTCGAGCAATCGTTCATGTGATTGATAATAATTTTCAATTCTTTTGGGAACTGTTGTTTTATGTACTTTGACAACTTATCCGTTAGAGAATGGCTGTTCTTCCACATGTGTATTAGTTCCTTATTAATTTTCAATACATCTCACCAAAGATATAGGATACAAAGATTTTTCCCCAATCTACCATTTTCTTTCTTATCCTCGTTGTATCTATTTTATTATTTTAAAAGTTGAAATATTTCAAGCAAAAGAAATTTATCTATATCATGTCATGGAACTTACTTGATCCCAAGTATAATATATTTGCGACTATATAGTCTCTTAGCATACCTGAGAGTCAAAAACTGGTAATAAAAGCACGTGTTTACCATTATGAAATATCTTCGTTATACTTAAGCTATGTTCAATAACAGTGCTTTAAAATAATGATACTTCTCTTTTATTGAAAAATTATAATTCAAAATAGTTTAAAAATACAAAGTTGAACCATGAAGTATGATACTTACAAGATTTTCCATATCTGTGCGAGCCAACATGTATGTCCTCACATTACTATTTTGATGCAGTAACATATACAAAAGAAGAGTTGCTTGATCAGACTTCTGCTGCTCACACAGGGCTGTATACAAACTATTAAAGTTAATCTGGAAAGCATGTGGATTTGAAGAGGGAAAAGCAGTGCTATCTGAAATGGAGAAAAAAGCCACAAATTGTATAAAGTAACAATGCAACAGCTTTCACTGGAATGTTTATAATAATGTTTAAGTATATTTTGGTCTGAGAAAAAAATTCATTACATTGGCACATAGTGAGTTTGTTCATTCTATATAGATCGGCTCAAATGCATGTGCTATGGGAAAAAATATCATCTTGGCAATCCTCTGAGAGCAACAACGGAAAGTTCTGGATTTGGGAGTCAGAAGCCCTGGGCTTGGATCTAGATTATGCCATTTATTAGATATGTGATTCTGGCCACATTTCTTGAGTTCACCCATTCTAACTTTCAGTTTTCTTATCTACACAACTATAGGAAACACTCCTCTACTGCCTACTTCAAACAAGCATTTCCTTTTTGTAAGGAAAATGCTTTATAAATGGCAAAACTTTTAAAATGTGAGCTAATTATCCTAACTCAACTGTTAAATTAGATTTTGAAGTTATCCTAAAAAGTCACCATCAGAACCAAACATAAATATAAACAAGTACAGAATGTTAAGGTTTTCATGTAGCCAATGACTCTTAGGGTTAGTTAATCTAAAAAGTATTTATCCTTGAAATATGAGAAGGAATATATGGGAAGGAAAACCTGATTTTTAAAATGCCTAAAATTACCTTTCTGGTTTTCATTATTCTCTTTAAGCCATTCATGCAGATAATGGCTAGAATATTAAGCTTTTTTTAATAGTATAACTGGCATTAAAAATTAGATTGAAAAGGATGTGTCTATCTTTGGGTTCTATGACAGTAACAATTTGTCCTAAGTCTAGAAGCTTAGAAAATTCCTCATTGTTTATGCAAGAAAACTTCATTAACTTCAAAGAGCTATTCCTCATGTTTTCTGAGAAAACTACCTAAGCATCCTATAAAGATGCTTAAACATATATTACAGCCCATTTAGGATGATTCCTATAATTTCAACAGTGATGAATGACTCTCTACTTAATAATTAATTGGTTTATCTTAGAAATCCAAGTTGGTTAATTAAGGAATCAGAATGGATCACTGGATGTACTTCACTCACAAAAAGTCATGATCTTGCCTGACAATAACATTACTTTATGTATTACTTATTACTATTTACTATTTATTTATTGTTATCTACTTATTATTTTGATCATAATTTCTGTTATTTTTCAAAACACCAAAAGATATTTTTAAAGGACATAAAATATGGGACCACTACAAAGAAAAGAAAGAATGCTTTAACATTTTCACCATGTCTTCTGATATAAAGAGATGTGAGCCAAAACAAATTTAATCTTCCATAAAACAGTCCTATGCCTCTCAAGTTCTCCCTTCTAACTTTTAAATGTATGTGAAAAGCATACCAAAAACTTCCCTTATTCCATTCTTTATCCATTTCCCCCTACCTTTTCCTTTACCACCTAAAACAAGGGACATCTTCCCCAATCTTTATACAGAATTTTTACCACTTAAAATCACTACTTTGTGTGACTATCTGGCTTTAAACCTTAAGAGACAAAGAGGTAGGTGGATTATATTTTATGAGTACTCAAAGGAGGCTACTACACGCTACTTCATGATTCCGTGAAAAAAAAGGTGTGCGGTGGCATGAAAATTCTCATCCACATAGGCCAATTACCATGATTCCATCTGTTGGCACACCTCATTATATTGTGGTAGACACAGGTAATAGAGGTAAGAATCTGAACATCACTATCATCTCTCTAATGTACTTCCCCTACTCCTTCAATTCTCCCATCCTGGTATACACACACCTGTTTACAAATGGGAAGGTACTTGACCTCTCCACGTCTCAGTCTTCTTATGTATAAAATAGGAGAAAGGGAGTACGTGGTCTGTAAGGTCCCCATCATGTTTAGCATTCTACTTATAAATTAGGATTACTGGTTGAGAAATTAATTTAATTTACTTGGATGGAATTGAAAGTTCATATGGTAAGAAAAACCTTTATCATATGAAGACTGTGATTTCTGAAGGCAAAATTAGACCTTCAAGCTAGCATTTTTCTAGACCATTTACACTGGTTATGGGACTACAGAAAAATCATTCTGGCAGAAACAGAACTTGAATTAATTTCAATGTAAATATGGATTGATTATTCCTTAAATCTTACTTAGACAACATTTTCTAATGCTGCAAAGTTCCATGTTGGTTCATAATTGCTTCAATATTAACTGGCATAATAAAAACTCGCTGTCATAAAAAATCATGAAAAACTGAGAAAAGTACTGTTTAAAATCTAAAATCCTAGCAAGAACCAGACCATAATCTGTCCTAGAAATTTAGATTAATTAGTTGTAACTTTATAAGCCAACTGCACAAAAATGAGTCAAGGTGAAAAAATATTCAGTAGTGATCTTGAACTTTTTTCAAGAAAGCTAGAAAACTATGCATACATTTATAGATGCCAGGTAAAAGCTATTTTTACAATGTTTTGAGGGAAAAGCTAATGCCTCTATTAGCATATTATGTGTTTCTGTTACTCTAGGAACTTTAGGCATTTCACTACACAATATAAAAACCAAATTTTCATACAAGATAAATAGGAAAGCCCAAATCATACGGTTTGTATTAGAACTAGAAGAAAGGAACCCTGGTCATGTATTTGAAACCACTTCATTTTATGAATAAGGAAACCAAGAGTCTGCGAGACAGGAAGTGACTTGCCAAAGGTTACACAACTAGTTTGTGGAAAGCCAGAGTCAGAACCTCTGTATGTGGACAGCTCATCTGATGCTCTCTCCACCAAACCATGTTACCCGCTGCCCTCAGAAGAAGAGAAATTGTGTGGTAAAAAACCACATACAGCAAAAACTAAGCAGGAAACATGAGGCAACCACATATTAGAAATTATTTTGAAAGCAACATGTCAACAAAGAGTTCCTGTAGGTTTTAGAATATATATTTTTAAGGCATTGCAATAAAAACAGCAATTTAAGCCAGTCTTTCTTATATTAATGATATTTTTTAAAGGGTTCATCCTAACAAACCAGAGGTTACTACTACAGCACAGAACCCTTTTGCTTAAGTTCTCAATCATTCTTATGAAAACACTAGACTAGATGAAGTCAAAATGGGTATGTGGCTTTTCCCACAAGATAAGAAGGCAGTATGGGATAAAAACAACTTAACAAGAAAATTCTAATATATTTGAAGCACCACTGTTTGTTCTATGTTTGAAGGGAAAATTGTTAAGACCCTAAATTTCATATTGAAATAAGAAACTTACGAGTCCAGATCACATACTAATCAAATATTAAATACAACAATAAAATGACATAACCTAAAGTATGAATTTTACTGCTATTCTGTATTATTCATAGATCTATTTTAATAGTGGATATATCCAAAGCTAACTTAATTTTACTATTACACAGAATGTTGTCTTCATTTTTACTATTACTCAACAAGGTACAAGAGTAAATCAAAACATTTAAAGTGAATTGAAAGAACTACAGTCCTCAAATCAGGTTCACATTACTACTTCAATAGAGGAGATTTAGCTTAGTAGTTTTCAAAATTTCTCATTATTATGATTAATTGCAGAGTTAAATCTCCAGTACCTGAAGTAAAGATGATGGAGAACAAAACAAAATTGATCAAAAAGCATTACAAACCTTGTGTGTTCTTAAAGGACATAATGGCCTGTCGGTAGGGGTTTGGCGTATCAGGAGCATCAGTGAGATTGGCCAGCACAAGCAGCAGCAGAAGGCTCTGACTGGCGAGAGGTGAAGACTGTTCCTGATGAGGTGCTGGTTTACTTCCTACTCCACCCAGTGTGAAGACAGTCCAAAGTCCAGCTAAAAAGGAAAAGATGGTGTTTTAAGTCATACCTTATTGAAGAACACAAACATTATACCATGCAACAATTTTATAATTAGTATTTTTTTTTTAAATCTAGGGAATTCAATTGACTTCACATTATTTTTGTATCATTCAACTCTGTTTTTTCTGAACAATGAAAACACAACCAATAAACAATTTAATTTAGTTAGGATATCTGAAGATCTATATTTACTAGTTCTATCTCTTTGATGAAGTACAATGCTTAAATCCATAGGGGAAGATAGGATCCTAAAGTGCAATGTTGAAGTGGTCAAAAAGAAAAAGAGATCCAGTACCTAAGCAATACAACTGAACAAATTTCAAACCAACATACTAGGAGCAGGGGTATCAAACTCCAATATAAACAAAGGCCACTAAATTGTACATAAGGATCCCTGTGAGGCACAAATTGACTTGGAACCCCACATATTAACACTGTCTATGTTCTATTGTATTTTTATTTATTTTGTTAAATATTTCCCAATTACATTTTAATCTGTTTCAGTCACACTCACGAGTGTTGCTAGCAATGTGGTCCACAAAGTGCATGTTTGACACCTCGGGACCAAACAAGCTCCTGGAGATGAGAGTCCAGTCCTTCCCTATATCTCGCTTAAATTTCTCCTAAGAAATTGGTTCCTTCCAAATGAAATCAATTTTTAAAAGGCAGTTGTTAGAGACACTAACTTTAATAAGGATCACTAACATCAAACATATTGTTTTTAAAAGCTAGATCAATTTTAATAAGAAAAACTTTTATATGAAAGCACACTATAATTCAAAGATATTTGGAAATGAAAATAGTTAACAATATTCTCGATATGCATTTTCTAGGAGTAAAACTAGTTAACATTGAATTAAATAAAATTAAGTTGGTGGGACAAAGCAAAGAATATTTTTTAATTGTATTAGAAAATTTTTATTTTGATCTCTTTTTTCCTATTTTAATTACTAAAACTAAACAGCTATAAGGAACCCCCCTACCAACCAACACTAAAATGTTAATTGTATAACCTATATCTTGTTATCTTAGAATCTGTATTATTATCTGACGTGTAGTTTTATTGAGGTTGTTACTTGTATTAAGTCTGATAACTATAAGAAAATTTCAAAAGGTCCGAAAGTTTTGAAAAATTAAGATCATACAACTATGTTCTAAACACAAACAAAAGTCAAATTTCTTGGATAAAATGATTTTAAGAATTCTCAGTAATTTCTTATTATAATGATAATCTTTTTATGGTCATCTAAGTAAAAACAAAACAAAACAAAACAAAAACATGGCCCAAACTGAATAATTAAATGGAAGCATAGTTCAATGACTTCCCTCTCATTATTCCTAATAAGAATACATTGCCTGGAATTTTATTCACCACTCTTGTCTAGAATTTACTGTGAATTCCAGTAAAAGGGTACAGGTTATGAGCTTTTTATACTTGCTTTTCATCAGTTTCTCTTTTTAAACCAAGCAAGCTAATAATGAAAGTTTCTCTTAAAATGCAGAGATAATTTTGGGACACCATAAGCATCCTGTTTTAAATTACCTTCAAGTTCCAGTTTTAGAAATTAGACACAAGTGATTCTATCTAAAGGAGATACTGATCTACTTTACTGCATTAAGATTCATAACTTCCCTCTTCTATTTAATGTTTGGACTGAAAAAAAAAAAAACACCACATCCAACAGCTTCTGGTTTATGCACAAAATTTAAAATCTATTACCTTATTCAAAAATTGAGAAGCAAAATAAAAAACTGTCATAGCACATTATCATATTTAAAAAAGATCCACACTGCCAGGTACCTCTAACACTCCAAATATACCATTCATCATTTCCCAAAGTGCCAGCAGAGACTTTGTTTACTTTATCTGGTTTCCAAAAATTTTAAGACAAAAGTAGTAATTATGATGATGATGACTAACATTTCTATTGGTGTTTTCTATGTGCCAGGCATTAAGTACTAACCAATATTATAATTATTATCTCATTTAATCCTCATAGCAAACCTAGGAAGTAGGTGCTACTATTATCCCCATTTTACAGATGAGGAAATTGAGGCAAACAGCGATCAAGTGACTTGCCCTGGGTCACACAGCTATTAAGTGTCTGAGGCCACATTTGAACTCAGGTCTGCCTTACTCTAGGCCCAATGCTCTAGCCACTATGCCACCTAGATGCTCTCCCAGTGACTTACAGCTGCTCAGAAGGGCTATTACTATTATCACCACCATAAATGATAAATCGAAAATAATAATTTTGGGGGCAGCTAAGTAGCGCAGTTGATAGAGCACCAGCCCTAGATTCAGGAGGACCTGAATTCAAATCCAGTCTCAGATCAGACACTTGACACTTACAAGTCATGTGACCCTGGGCAAATCACTTAACCCCAATTACCTCACCAAAAAAACCAAACAAACAAAAATGAAAATAATAACTCTGATTGAAATCAAAATAAATTTGGTACTACAGGAGGTAGTACCTGTATTGAACTCAGCAGCCCTATACCAAAAGTGATCATATACAATAAAGGAGGTCATTGCTGTGTGAACACTGGACATTTGATTCAGTAGAATAAAAATACTAAGAGATTCTTTTATGACAAATTGTCTCTTAGCCTTACCTTAAGGTCATTTAAAACTCCCTAGAATTAACAAAAAAAAAATTAGTACTTTCTAAATATTGCTAAGCACTAGGAATATATAAATTAGAAAAATTAGACAGTACTTACTCTTGAGGAGCACCCTCTCTAATTGAAGGAGAAAACAGATTATAAAAGGGTTTAGCTACAGAGAAGGTGAAAAGGCCCAGAAATAGAATGAATACAGGAGGTATGGATGGCAAAGTTCAGGGATCCTTTGCATGTACAGATGACAATGCCCAGCAGTCTAGAGGCCACAGCAGCAGGGTAGGTGGTAAGGCCTAATGATACTCTTCTAACTGAAAGGCTTGTAGGTGATTGCTCCAAACTATATCCACAAAATTTAGCTCATCTCATCTAAGTGATAGGATGAATAGCTATGCCACTTTTTCCAACCAGTTGCTATAGGCAAAGGGAAAGCATATAAGATCAGAACTAACCCTATTAAATGACCTGATTAACATCAGCATATTTGGTGAGTTGTTTCAATTGTGTCATGAGCCTATTTGGGGTTTTCTTGTCAAAGATACTGGAGTGGTTTACCATTTCCTTCTCTAGCTCATTTTACAAATGACGAAACTAAGGTAAATAGGGTTAAGTGAGTTGCTCAGAGTCATACAGCTAGTAAGTATCTAAGGCCAGATTTGAACTCAAGAAAATGAGTCTTTCTGACGCTATGCCCAGTGCTCTATCCACTGTGCTAACTAGCTGCCCCTAATATGAATATGAGGAACAGCTAAATGGTATACGATAAAGAGTGGAAATTTTGGAAATCAGAAGACTTGAGTTCAAATCCTTCTTCAGACACTCATGAGCTATATAACCTCTGCCGTTCTTCATTTTCAAAGAGGATCAATGACATCACAGGGTGATGTTCTTGACTTGCTCATGAACTGAATTTAACTGAAGCAAAATTTCAGAAACTTGTCATCCTCAGACCACGATAGACATAGCCCACACCCAGCATCCACGACCCCTGGAGTAATAGTCACTATATATGCCTTCTGTTTGGATCTACCCTCCCCATTCCCCCACTTTCATCATCCAGGGGAGCAAGCCCTGTAGAAATTCAGCCAGGAACCTCCTCTGCTGGTGCTACACCTACTACCTTCTCAAGAGACGCAGCTATTAAAGACCTACAAAAGAAAGTTCTTATCACCAAAGTCCTTCATCCTGATAAACACTTCAACATCAGAAATAGATATGGTGTATCAATAGAAATGATACTAAAGAAGATGAGTAGAGTGTGTTCAGTGAAGAATAGTACCTCTGGCATGAGGGCTGTCAAACCCTTTTCAAGGCTCCTCATTTACCTCTGGTGTCCACCTATCACCCAACTCTCACCTGTGTCTCCAAGAAGCTGTAGTATGCACAGAAGCCACAACCTGGTAAACCATTTTGGCAGATGGGTCATACCAGGTTGAGGGTAACTGAGGGGTCTCAAACCCTTCAGTGAGTTAGAAGGATGTCCAGCCTGAGCATGTGAAGACTTCCCCTGGCAGTGGGTAGATGAGAACAATTTGTTCAAAAGGCCATGAAGGCAGTTAAAGCAGGCACTGTGGAGCCTTAGAGCTTGGTTAGACATCAAAGACACCAAGATCATCCACCGCACTCTAAGCTATCACCAGTCATCTTGACTTTGTCTCGCCACTGGACTTTGATAACTCTGGAAGAGAGTGAGGCCAACAACCTCATACAACTCTGCCTCATTTACATCTAATTTATGTGCAAATCAAAAGACCTCACCCATACCATTTAACCATTTTTACCTATCTCAAAATCCTGTAATGGGAGGCAAGTGATGAAACAGCAGGCGCAAATACACTGGGAGCTATAGTGGCAACCATGAACACAGGCAGCCCAGGCCACATCACTGGAAGCAGCAGTGAGATTTGGCAGCCCCTTGGGTGTCTGAGCAGCCGTTTTGAAGGACTGCACTGCTCACTTCCTGGCAGGAGGAAGGGGCTAGAAAAGGTGCCCTAAATATTTTCAGCTTCACTCAACCCTGGCCTGCTTACTGTCACAGGCAGGGATCCCAACCTGCAGTCGAAACACAAAAAAAATGTACAAAAACTACTGTAAGGATGATTCCACTCATCATAGGTTCATGGAATATGTACACAATTATGGACAACATGAAATCCAGTAGACCTGAAAGACAAGTAGCTCTTGTATGAGAACTCAGCAGGTATCACATCCAAATAGCAGTCCTGAGTGAAATAAGGCTGGCAAATGAAAGCCAGCTTACTGAAGCCAAAACTGGATACACATTTTTCTGGAGTGGTCTCAGTGAATGGGAGTGCTGTGAAGCTGGTGTAGATTTTTCAATAAAAACTA